GACATTCATCACGTCAGCACCAGGGACAGCAGACACACTTATCCGCCTCCGTCGCTCGCTGCGCCTCCTCCTCGCGCGCACGCTCAGCCTCCTCGCTGATGCGCAGGAACACCTGCTCGATCGACGTCTGCGACACGTGGTAGTCCGTCAACCCAAGCGAACGAAAGTGATTCTCAAGCAGATCAAACGCCACTGAGAGCCTCGTGTCTCTTGGCAGAGAATAAATCATGCGATCCGCGCGATGCTCCACCAACAGTGATCCATGGAAGTATTCTTCAAAAAACAGCTCAACCGCCGCAACTGTCGCCGCGTCGCGGCGACCAAGGCGCAACGCTACCTCAAAACCACTGCCAAACTTGTTCTTCAGATGCGTCTTGTCACCGATACAGCGCAGCGCTCCGTCCACCATAATGGCCACGCGGTGCGCAAGAGCCTCCACCTCCTCTAGATGGTGCGTCGTCAGAACAACGGAGCAGTTGTCAGCAACCGTCTCTATCGCGTTCCACAGTCCACGACGTGCGACGGGGTCCATGCCTGCCGAGGGCTCGTCGAAGAACACCACGCGCGGCCCTCCCACCAACGCAGTCGCCACACTCAGTTTACGCCGGTTGCCACCACTCAGCTCGCGCGCAAGTGTATTCCGATACTTCATCAACTCGCACAGGCGCAGCAGCCCGAGGACGACTTCGCCGCGTTGGCTCCACGCGATGCCACGCACACGCGCGTACAGCCGCAGGTGCTCCTCCACCGTCAGCAAATCCAGGCAGGCGTCAAACTGTGGGCAGTAGCCGATGCACTGCAGGGCCTTGGCGCTCTCCTCCACAACATCATACCCGCAGACGGAGGCGGAGCCGCCCGTGGGGAGAAACTCTTGACATAGAATCGAAATGGTTGTCGTCTTCCCCGCACCATTTGTGCCAAGAAAGCCAAACACCTCGCCAGACTTCACACCAAAAGTGAGATTCCGCACCGCGACTTTGCCGTTGGGATACTCTTTTCGCAGATGAACAACACGCACAAGATCTTCCAATCGCTCTGCCGAGTTCATCAACTCTGCACGCTCCTGTTTTACATCATCATCCTCGCCCTCAATCGCCTCAGGTAACGCATATCTGTCGTGAAACAGTCGCTGCAAGCGCTGACGCCGGCTAGGATGATCAATACCGAGTGCGGTAAGGAAAAAGAGCGGAGTAGCGAGCGCCATGTACACACAAGGCCACCCAATGACATCCATTTCCCACGGGCCCGCTTCTTCACCGTATGCCTGCCGCATTCTCAGTAAACCCAAATTGCTGATGCATTCACCGATGCAGTAGCTTGGCACTATGCGGAACACCCAACGCAGGGCCTTGGCAAGTTCCTCGGTCTTTTCAACCATTTCCAACGTCGACACCCCGAGAACGAGCAAAAAACCAACAACAAAGTTCGCCAGCATCACGACGATTTGGGCCTTTGAGTGATCAGAAAACATAAAGTTCACCGCATACGCCATGGCAATGCCCGAAAAACCGTACATCAGAAAGGCACAGATGGTCGCACCAATGTTTTCCGTGGCAATAAACTCCTTGCGCTGGAATATGACAAATACAATGATGACCAAAAACATTGTGATAAAATACGAGCAAAGGTCAAAAAGGAAGTTTGAGAGCCAATATACCGTGAAACGCAGTCCAGATGCATTCTGCAGGTGCCTTGCCTTGCACTGCCGCTCCTTCACGACCCAAGCTACAAATGTCGATGGGATAAATGTGAACGGAACCATGACAACTACCGCAATAATAAGGGCGTAGACGGCCGATCCAACATTCTCCTCACGCTTCGTCCTCGGCAGAGTGTGTACGCGTGTCATCATGGGTTTTGCAGAGCTGTTCGCCTTGAAAAGCAGGCCATTATAGAAGTTTGCCACGCCAATCGCCACCTCGTGGAGGGCGGAGGAATTGTAGAAAATCGTGCTCGCCCCAAAAAGCAGAGAGTCAAGGCAGGAAACTGCGCCGTAGCGCTCAACCCTGTGCGCGTTGTATGTGGAGAGAAGATACTCTGAAAGGGCATCCGAAGTGCCTACGCCGGGCGGCACTTCCGTTTGGGCGTTGGGGGAAAATGGCACCGAGAGATTAAAGATCGACTCACAGTTCGCCACATCAATCTGAAGCGGCACGCCGTACACCTCGCTGCTTAGGAGAAGCGGTGGACTGGCATAGAACTTTAAGAGCGTCAGCAACATGGCCAGCAGTACACACGCAACGGGACAAAAAAGCTGGAAAAACTGCGTGCGTCGGTCGCGAAGCGCGTGCGATAGACGTTTCGCCATCATCGCATGAAACTGTACACACAATATCGCGAGCTCACTTTCCATCAACTTAACGTTCCACACAACCTGCGGCGCATTCACCGGCACATCGGCCGCCTCCGCGGAAGCATTGTTGTTCACACCCATCGCAACCCTGATGAAGATCTCCTCAAGCGTCGTCAGTGACAGTGCATAGCTCCTCACCCCGAGCAGATCGCCCTGACTCTCGACATCCCTGAAAAGCGCAGCAAAATTCGCCTTCTCCTGCATCGGCAACCGATACGCCACCTCACCTGCCCCACTACCCACAGATACGGCAGACATTATATGCATGCGCACAAGTTCTCCAATGGCGTGGCGATCCGCATGCAGCACGACAGACATCGTCATCAGATACCCCAGACCCAACCTAGACTTTAGAAACAAACTACTGCCAGAGCACTGCAGAGAACCGTTGCTCAAGATACCAATACGGTGTCCTAGCAGGTCCGCCTCGTCCATGTAATGCGTCGTCAGCAGAACGGTGTGTGAGGAAGACATTCGCTTCAGCAGCTCCCACGTGTAGCGGCGGGCACCAACATCCATACCGGCGGTCGGCTCGTCAAGGAACACAAGGCGACTCCGACCCACAAATGCAACAGCCACTGAAAGCTTCCGCTTCTGCCCA